GTTAAGTACAGAAAACCGACAGCACCTCGCCAGATGACTCGAATAATAAGAATAGTTTCGCGGACCTAGCTCGAGTAGCAGACCCGGTTCAGGCCTCTAGATTCAACAGACGAACGCGCCTGATGATTCTGAGTCGGTTTCTGTAAGTATCAGCCCTGTAGCTTTCCTAAATCTCGAGTTAAGTACAAAAATCCGTGATCGCGTATCAAGATAACTCAAAACGGCCGATCCCGCCTGTGTGCTTTTTGGCAGTAGTATCCCTACCCGATCGACCAGAGATTCAGACGGCGAGCGGGAATAAGATCGAATATCATGGGAAAAAATATTAGAGCTCTAATGAATTGTTGAATCTCGAGAACAAAATTTGCAACCGAGCAAAAGTCAGGAAAAGGTCCATCGAGATTTTTCTTCCCTAGTAAATCGCCAGCGCCCCGGAATTACTCTTAAGCTTCCAACAACTAGCTAAGGGAAGCTCTACGAGTTATGCTTCCGCATCAGTTTCTGTGCGTACCAGCTCTGTAGCTCTCCTACATCCCGAATTCAATTCAGAAAATGGACAACATCTGTCAATATGACTCGAAGAATACGAATAGTTTTGCGGACCTAGCCCGAGTAGCAGACCCAGTTCAGACCTCTGGATGCAACAGACGAGCGGGCCTGATGATTCCGAATCAGGTGTCTGTGCGTATGAGCTCTGTAGCTCTCCTACAGCCCGAGTTTCGTGCGAAAACAGACAGCACCTCTCAAGATGACTCGAACGATACGAATAGTTTCGCGGAGCTAGCTCGAGTAGCAGACCAAGTTCAGACCTCTGGATGCAACAGACGAACGCGCCTGATCAGTCTGCATCGGTTTCTGTGCGTATCAGTTCTGTAGCTCCCTTAGAGCTCGAGTTAAGTACAGAAAACCGACAGTCCCTGTCGAGATGACCCGAGCGATGCGAATAGTTTTGCAGACCTAGCTCGAGTAGCGTACCGATTTCAGACCTCTGCATGCGACAGGCGGACGCGCCTGATGTCTCCGAATCGGTTTCTGCAATAACCAGCCCTGTAGCCACCCTACAGCCCGAGTTGAGTACAGAAAACCGACAGCACCTCTCAAGATGACTCGAACAATACGAATAGTTTCGCGGACGTAGCTCGGGCAGCAGACCGAGTTCAGACCTCTGGATGCAACAGACGAACGCGCCTGATGATTCGGAATCGGTTTCTGTAAGTATCAGCTCTGTAGCTGTCCTACAGCTCGAGTTAAGTACAACAAACCCGAGAACGCGTGTCAAGATGACTCGAAACGGCCGACCCCGCCTGGACGCTTTTTGGCAGTACTATCTACCCGATCGACCAGAGATTGAGACGGCGAGCGGGAATAAGATCGAATACCATGGGAAAGAATACTAGAGCTCTAACGAATTGTTGAATTTCGACAAAAAAATTCAACCGACCAAAAGTCATCAAAAGGTCCGTCGAGATTTTTCTTGCCAACTGTCACCGCCGGGAACCTCGTAGAGCTCCTCGCACGTGTAAAAGTGCCTAGATTCAAAACAGACAGCTTATCGGAGCATTTCTAAGGAAACGTCGAATTTACATTTTTCGGTGTGAACTTGATGTCGGTTGCTCTTAATTGTTCGATAGTAAAACTGGCTCTAGAGAGCTGAGCTGCTTTGGGGACAAATTTTATATGCCAATGCTCGGCGTAAAAATCTGTTTTCTCAAAATGAATTCTCAAATATCTTTGAAATACTAGCAAAACCGATCAAAAGTTATCACTTTGTCTCTTCTGGTCCGGTCGACCAACTAGCTCCACCCGGCGCTGGAATTCCTCTAGCTCATCGACTGTGAGCCGGCGGTGAACCGTTAACCAGGTTACCGCCGGGAGCCTCGTAGAGCTCTTTCCTCGCACGGCGCTGCTCGGAACACGTGAGGGTAGCTTTCTTACATGTGAGCTAAAAACTCGAAGGAATAAGAATAAGTTTTTTTAGTTATCATCCAAAGACGGTTGCTTCAAGTGTTTTTGATAGTAATACTGCAGCTACGGACCTGAGGATTTCACTGGCGCGCGCGGCATAACCCACTACAGGTGCGAAAAATACCGTTTCTTGAAACGAATGTTCAAATATCTCACAACTGGGAGCCGGCGGTAAACCGTCAACCAGGTTACCGCCGGGAGCCTCGTAGAGCTCTTTCCCTTGCGCGGCGCTGCTCGGACACATGAAAGAGCTTCATCGAGCGTTAGCTAAAAACTCGAAACTTGGCAGTAATATGTACCAGATCGACCTGATATTAAGATGGCGAGCGGGAGTGACTGTCGATATTTTTTTGCCAACTAGCCCCTCAGCGCGCCGGAATTGTTCTCTAGCTTCGCCGCTTCGCTCTTGCGGAATCTCTACGAGTCATTCTTCTTAGCTCATCTCGTCGAAGAGCTCCGCGAGGTACTGGGGGCCGGCGGTGAACCGTCAACCAGGTTACCGCCGGGGCCCTTGTAGAGCTGAACACGCAGATCAGCGCCCAAAAAACGAGCAGAGAGCGTTTTCGAATATCTTCCTGAAAACTCGCATAATTTATTTTGTCACAATTTTATACGACGTCGGTTCCCACAAGTGTTCTAAGAGTACTACTGCAGCTACGGACCTGAGAATTTAACTGGCAGACACGGCTCACTACAGGTGCGAAGAATACCGGTTCTCAAAACGAATGGTCAAATCTGTCGCAATCTTCGAAAAACCGACGCCAGGTCGTCGCACTGCCCGCCCGGGCCGGGTGGCCAACAAGCTTCGCCCCGCGCCGGAATTCCGAGCTTATCGACGCCGAAGAGCTAGCTCTACGAGGCATGAAAGGAAAGAGGAGGACAAGAAGGAATAGGAAGAGGAGGAGAAGCAGGAGGAGGAGGAAGAGGGGAGAGGGGGGAAAAGGATGAAGGAGAAGGGGGGAAAGAGGGGGGGAAGAGGGGAAAGAGGGGAGAAGCAGACTGGGAGCCGGCGGTAAACCGTCAACCTTGGTTTCCGCTGGGAACTCGTAGAGCTTCCTCGATATGCGTGAATGGAAGGCGGACGCTGCAATCTCGCACTCCGCGCGCGAGGAGAAGGAGGAAGAGAAGGAGCAGGAGGAGAAGGAGGAGAAGGAGCAGATCAATAAGAAAGAGGAGGAGCAGAAGGGGGAGAAGGAAGAGGGAGGAGGACGAGGAGCAGGAGTACGAGTAGTTTTGTTGATTCCAGCTCTGGCAGCAGACCGATTTCAAACATGTAGATACCTGCAACGAGCGTTCCTGATGATTTTCGTCCAATCGCTGTGCCGAGCAGTTCTGATCTCATCTGCAGCTCGAGCTACATCAGGAAAGGCATCGTCATCTCTGAAAATAATACTAGAGTGCGAATAGTTTTTCGGTTCCAACTCTGGGAGCAGACCGAGTTCGGGCATCTAGATACTTGAGACTAGCACTTCTGATGATTCCCTTTCGATTCCTCTGCCAAACAGCTCTGTAGCTCATCTGCAACTCGAGTTATCTTAAGAAAGTCATCATAATCTTTGTAGGAAACTAGCAGGGTACGACTAGTTTTTCGAACCCAGCTCTGGTAGCAGACCGAGTTCGAGCATCTAGATATTCAAGACTAGCGCTTCTGAGGATTCTCTTTCGAGTTCTGGTCCGGACAGCTTTCTAGCTCATCTGCAGAGCGAGTTGCATCAAGAAACTCATCATTTTTTTCTACATTTTTTATTTTACATTTTTGATTTCAAACATAGCAGAGTACGAACAGTTTTTCCGACACAGCTCTGGTGGGAAACCGAGTTCGGGCACCTAGATCGGAGGTTTGGGGGTGAGATCGAAGTGGAACGGAGAGCCCCCCTACCGGGAAATCGATTTCGGTTTCGTGTTCGTGCGTGCCGTGCGTGCGGGCGAGGCGAAGCTGCGTGGGCGGGCGAGAGGAAAGTCTCCTGTGGCTGAGGCGCGGCCGGACCAAATGATTCTCCACCGGGGCGCGGGGCCGCGCGGTGTCCCGCAGGTGTCCCGGTGGTGTCCTCTGTGGCTGAGGCGCGGCCGCACCAGATGATTCTCCACCGGGGCGCGGGGCCGCGCGGTGCCCCGCCGGTGTCCCGGTGGTTTCCCGTCGGTGTCCCGATAACGATGTTGATGATGATTATGGTGATGGTGATGATGATGATGGTGATGATGATGATGTTGATAATGTCGATGATGATGATGATGATGATGATGATGATGATGATGATGATGATGATGATGTTCATGTTGATGTTGATGATGATGATGATGATGATGATGATGATGATGATGATGATGATGACGACGTCGATTTGTGAGATCGATTGTGATCGGAGGTTGGGGGGTGAGATCGAAGTGGAACGGAGAGCCCCCCTATCGGGAAATCGACTTCGGTTTCGTGTTCGTGCGTGCCGTGCGTGCGGGCGAGGCCCCGTGCACCCACCAGTACAGGCTAGGCTTTGCCAGCCGCTCTCTCCGAGGGCGCCCCGTTCCTTCGGGCGGCCGCGCGGGCTCGCCGCCGCGGCTGGAAGCGAATCGAAAAACTGGGGCGTCTGAGCCCGTGGAGTTCGGCCGTCTACATAAAAAGGGACACGCCGACAGGACGCCGGCGCGGGCCCCTGGGAGGGGTTCCGGTTCCGTTTTGAGGTTGGCGCCGAGGTTCGGTCGAGGTTTCCTGGCCCTCGGAGGCCCTGCTCGCCACCGCGGCTGGAAGCGAATCGAAAAACTGGTGCGTCTCGGCCCCTGGAGTTGGGCCGTCGGCATAAAAAGGGATACGCCGACAGGATGCCAGCGCGGGCCCCTGGAGTCGTCGTTCGCCATCGCTGTTGGAGTCGGCTTCGGTACGTCCCTGCAGGTTCCCTTGGGAACTCCTGAATCGTTCCCGGGGCCTTGTTGTATCATGATGCTGTGCTGTATGCTGTGCCGGCGTTGACGCCGTCAGACCGCAGCCCATCACGGTTCTGTGTTCGGAGAGTTCCCGCGGACCTTTGGCCGGTCCCGCGGCCATGGCCGCCGCCGCCCGCAAGCTCAGACATGCGCTGCCTGTGTCCCAGGGCCAGGCTTTGCCAGCCCCAGGGACAGAGGCACCCTACGCGGGCTCGCGCAGACTCGCGCAACGATACGAGTACAAGGGCACTTCCTTTTCGGGCATTGTGGAACTCCATCCTCAGCGCCTGCTGACTCGGGAGGGGTTCAAGACGAACTTGCTGGCAGCACCAGGCGTGCTGAAGGTCTCTGTGCTTCCAAAGATGTTTGTGGCCACTCCGCGTTTGGGTTGGCCATTTGGGATTTCGGGGGTCTTCGGGGGCCTCCTTGGGAGGGGCCATCTTGAGCCATCTCCGGTTCGCTTGAACCGTAGTGGAGGCCATATGGGGATTCCCCGGGAATGCTTACGAGGGTGACCCTCAGGTCGTGGACAAGAGCTCCAAGAGCTCGCAGGGCAACCGAGGCGACCACGTCTTCGAGCAGAACCTGGAAGTCCACCTGCACCGCGAGCCCCATGTAGCTCTGGAGTTCGAGATCACGCGGAACAGCCACATGAAGCACATGGAGGGGCGCCCTTACACTGAGACAGCGATGTTCAAGGACCCCCCCAAACGGCATCACGCGGCGGCGTGGCGCGTGCTCTTGCACGCCGTCAAGGGCCGGGAGCTCCTTCCACAGCATGCCCGCGACTACTGCAAGAGCTGCCTGACGAGACACGGTACCTGGGAAGACGACGTGCTCCCAGAGGGCCTGGAGGGGATCCCGCTTGAGCCAAGCTTTGCCAGTCCTGCGGGGTCTTCCAGCTCTCCGACGCAGGCACCAGGCCTTCCAACAGCGCCAGGCCTTGCCAGCTCTCCGACGCAGGCACCGAGTCGCAAGCCAACGTTCCCGTATCCTTTCCAGAACGCTCCCGCGATGCCCGGGGGCCAGGCGACCGCCTCTGCGGCGCGGGTGGAACCCTGCCCCACCGAGTCGGCCTCAATGAGTCAGGGTGGCCGCGGGGTTCCGCTTGAGCCAGACTTTGCCAGTTCTGCGGGGGTGGAAGCTTCAATAAATCAGGGCGGCGCGACGGGGCCTCCTGCCAAGAAGAGTAAAGCGGCGCCCGGGGGTGCCGCGATCGCCCCTGCGGCGCAGGTGAGCGGAGGGGCGCGTCAGGCCTCCTGCCCGGAGGGCCTCAACTACTGCGTGGCTGGGGTCACGGAGCTGAGAGCGTTCGAGCGGGACGGGAACATTGCACGTTGGTCAAGGCCCAGGACCTACTGCTCAAGGGGATCGAGCGCATCTCGGACGTCTTGCCTGAGGGGCGCGATTTGGACGGCACCGAGTACGAGACGCTATGTGCGGAGTTCAACCGCTTCGTGGAGATCGCGGAGGATGCGCGCGTGCGCATGCGGACCGAGTTGGAGGCGTTAAGGAGGCCAGCGGGCGGGGAGCAAGCGTTGGCAGGCGAAGCCCAGGGGTCGGGTCCAGGCTTTGCCAGCCCGGCGACCCAGGGGCAGAAGAACGAGGACAAGGCGGATGCGGAGAAGACGCCGCCAGGGTTCGACCCCGAAGCCGATTGGACAGAGGATGCGGCGGACGTGCACCAGTTCGACATCACGGCTGACCTGCGCGAGGAGCTGGCCGAGAAGCCCGATGGGGGCCCGGCCGCCGCCCGTGAGTCCAGGGAGGTCCGCGCTGCACTCGGCGCCGAAGTTCTTCCCATCCCGGTTTTTCTGAGGCTTCTGCAGGGCCAGCCGATGGCCAGCAACGCCGCCCTGGACGATGTTCGTGCTATGAAGAGTCGCGGTGTGAAGCACGTGCGGTGCCGAGTCATCGATGAGCCCGGCGATCCCGAGGTGCAGGACAACATCGACAGGATGCACCGAGAGGCCTGGGAAAGCACGAGGAGCGTCGGAGGACATGTGCCCGTGGCCTGGACACGCGGGACATGTTCTTGGGCCGCGAACTGGTGTACGTCAAGCTGGGCAGTGCCGGCGCGGTGCCCATGACTCCGAACGAGTTTTTGAATGCGGCGTCTAAGAGGTCTCTCTGCGTCAAGGATCTGTCGCGGCCACCTCCAAACACGCAGGCACGGGAGGGCCGCTTGCGCATGCTCGCGCTGCGGGAGCATTACCAGACGTTGTTCAAGGAGCTCCCGGATAAGGCAGCGCAGAAGTTTTCGCCGAACCAGCTGGGGGACGACGACGGACCATCGAAAGCGCTGGTGGGTTTGGTCAATCACCACTCTGGCTAGGTGGTGGAGCTGGACGGGTGCAGAACGCAGTGGTGCCTTCGCAAGGTCGCACCAGGCATTGCCAGTGCCGCGCAATTCGAGAATCCAGAATTCTGGTGCGTGCAAGGTGGTTACACCGTGGGACGACGCCCGGAGGGGCGGTGCGAGTACGGCCGGAGCGGGTCCAAGCTCTTCGCCAAAGCCGTCGACGCACAGGCCCAGCGCGAAGCCGCCGCCGTGAACGAGGGCGAGGACATCAACCCACAGGTCTACATGCCCGCCTGGGCTGGAGCAGGGTATGCGTTCCGTGCGAGGCGGTCGAGACGCGCGAGTGGTGTCGGCAGAGCCCCGTCACGACGCTGGGGGAGCTCTTCTGGGACCTGGGCCGGACGCACACGGCCAAGGCCATCTACGCCTTCTACAGGGCGCTCCGGCTGGTCGCGTTGAAGAGGGACAAGAACAGTTCCACCATGGCGAGCAGTGCGCCAGGCTTCGCCAGCGCATCTCGGCCAGCCGGGTCGGCAGCTGCTTTCGGCTTCACAGGGTCCGACCTCCAGGCGCCCCGCATCCGCGCAGATTACTCGTGCCCGGCGACCGACCGCGAGGTGCTCGTGGAGGACTACATAGAGGCGGTGGGCTTGTCCACAGCGTACGTCAGCTCCAAGACCAAGCAAGAGTTGCTGGACGAGGCTGTGAAGTGCGTGACGTTGGTGTTGCTTCGGGACATGCGCCCGCCGTGGCTGGATCACGTGTTCCCCCAGGCCTTGCCAGGGGATGGCTTGTTGTCCAAGTTCACCAGACCGTCTTTCCTCTACTGGGACGCCAGCTTCCTCGACATGCTTTTCGGCACCGCTCTGGGAAGCGATCTCAGCGACCAAGCGGTCAGCGTCGACTACCAGCTGGCGGGTGTCATCGCGCGCCCCCTGTATAAGTGCACGCAGATCGTCGACGCCAGCGCCGGAGCAGCGTGCATGAACGTCGCGTCGATGTCAAGGCTTTTGCGGGACACCGCGGGTTGGGGCCACTACACGTGCAAGGAGTGTGCTGATAGGAAACAGGGCGCCGATGAGACGCCGGGCTTTCCCAGTGTTGCCCTTCGGGCCCTGTGCTTGTGCCCCGCGGTGTTCGGGCCGGATGGCGAGCCCACGCCGCTTCGCGCGATGACGCCCCATCGCCTTTTCGCGCGCGCGCCTCCGGAGAATTGGGGGTGGGGCGTCGAGCGAGTCCAGCGCCGCGTGGTGACCCAGGCGAACCCCGCGATATCCACGGCCACGCCGACATGGTACACTTACAACGCGGAGGAGAGCCAGGCCATTTGGATCGCATCCAGTGCGTACAAGGCCACGCCGCCGAGCAAGACGTGAATGGAATGGGGGCACTGGCTGCGCCAGGCTTTGCCGGCGCTTGCAGGCTCCTGCATCGTGAAGGATATAGTTTTTGATTTCGCGTAGGCTGCGCCAGGCTTTGCCGGCGCTTGCCAGGCTGTGCGTAGGCTGCGCGTAGGCTTCGCCAGCGACCCCTGGAGTTGGGCCGTCTACATAAAAAGAGATGCGCCGACAGGACGCCGGCGCGGGCCCCTGGGAGGGGTTCCGGTCCCGTTTTGAGATTGGCGCCGAGGTTAGGTCGAGGTTTCCTGGCCCTCGGAGGCCCTGCTCGCCGCCGCGGCTGGAAGCGAATCGGAAAACTGGTGCGTCTGGGCCCCTGGAGTTGGTCCGTCTACATAAAAAGGGATACGCCGACAGGACGCCGTCGCCGTCGCTGTCGCAGCAGTTCTCATCAATTGCATTTGCACCATGTGCAACCCGACAAAGGGAGGGAGAGGAGCCTCAGCAGGCCTCCGAGAACAAAAATCTCCACTGGCATCGTCAGGACAACAATCACCACTGTTGCCGATTGCTCGGCCCCTCCCCCCCCCCAACCTCCTTATCACCCGCAGGGTGGTCGTATAGGTACTTGAGGCTAGCGCTTCTGATGATTTCTTTTTCTTCGATTGCTCTGCCAAACAGCTCTGTAGCTCATCTGAAGCTCGAATTACCTCAAGAAATTCATCATCATCTCTAAACACATAGCAGAGCACGAACAGTTTTTCGGACCCAGCTCTGGTGGCCGACCGAGTTCAGGCATCTAGATACTTGAGACTAGCGCGTCTGATGATTCTCTTTCGATTGCTGTGCCGAACAGCTCTGTAGCTCATCTGAAGCTCAAGGTACATCCAAAAACTCATCATCATCTCCAAACAATAGCAGAGTACGAAAAACTAGAATTCAGACATCTAGATACTTGAGACTAGCGCGCGCGCCTGGTGATTCAAGATGGATTAGGTGTGCCTGCCAGCTCTGTTTATCTACTTCAGCTCGAGTTGAGTTCCGAAAGCCGACAGCACCTACCAAGATGACACTAAGCAACCGATCCCGCCTGGATGTTTTTTGGCAGTAGTATGTACCCGATCGACCTGAGATCAAGATGGCGAGCGGGAGTGAGATCGAATATGAGGAGAAAAAATATTAGAGCTCAAGCGAATTTTCAAATTTTTTCAGATCGAACTTAGACAGCAAAATTATCCAAAACTTCCGTCGAGATTTTTCTGCCAACTAGCCCCCCAGCGCGCCGGAATTACTCTGTAGCTTCGCCGCTTCGCTCTTGCGGAAGCTCTACGATTCACTGATCAGCCCATCCCGCCCACCTGCTTTTTGACAGTAATATGTACCCGATCGACCTGATATTAAGATAGCGAGCAGGAATAACGTCGCATATGAGGAGAACAAATACTAGAGCTCTAACACATTTTCACACTTCGGGAAATCCGCTTTAAATCGAGCAAAATTATGCAACACTTCCGTCGATATGTTTTTGCCAACTAGCCCCAGCGCGCCGGAATTACTCTCTAGCTTCGCCGCTTCGGTCTTGGGGCAGCTCTACGAGTCATTGCTCTCTAGCTTTGCCGCTTCGCTCTTAGGGGAGCTCTACGAGTCACTCTCTAGCCGCCGCTTGGCTGTTAGGGAAGCTCTACGAGTCGAGGTTTGCTGCGCCGGTATTCGGTCACATCGGGGGTGTTATCTTCAGCAATCTTGCGAGCACCAAGGTCTGAAGTACTAAATCCAACAATCCGAGAGACGACAGGACTCATGTCCCTGCCCTCCTGCTCCTCCGACTCCTTTTTAATTTCCACAAACGTGCTCTCATCCTTGGAAGTCATGCTGGGGGCCGGCGGTGAACCGTCAACCTTGGTTGCCGCCCGGAACTCGTAGAGCTCCTCGATATGCGTGAATGGAACGCGGACGCGGCAATCTCGCATTCCGCGCGCGAGGAGAAAGAGGAAGAGAAGGAGCCGGACGAAAAGGAGGAGAAGGAGCAGATGAAGAGGAAAGAGGAGGAGGAGAAGGAGAAGGAAGAGGACGAGGAGCAGGAGTACGAATAGTTTTTTTGCTTCCAGCTCTGGTAGCAGAACGAATTCAAACATGTAAATGCTTGCAACGAGCGCTCCTGATGATCTTCGTCCAATTGCTGTGCCGAACAGTTCTGCTCTCATCTGCAGGTCGAGCTACATCAAGGAAGTCGTCGTCATGTCTGAGATAATATTACGGAGTACGAATAGTTTTCCCGTTCCAGCTCTGGGAGCAGACCGACTTCGGGCATCTAGATACTTCAGACTAGCGCTTCTGATGATTTCCTTTCGATTGCTCTACCAAACAGCTCTGTAGCTCATCTGCAGCTCGAGTTATCTCAAGCAAGACATCATAATCTTTTCAACAACTAGCAGAGTACGAATAGTTTGTCGAGCCCAGCTCTTGTAGCCGACCGAGTTCGGGCATCTAGATGCTCGAGACTAGCGCTTCTGAGGATTCCCTTTCGATTCCTGTGCCGAACAGCTCTCTAGCTCATCTGCAGAGCGAGTTGCAGCGAGAAATTCATCATCATCTCTAACATTTGCAGAGTACGAATAGTTTTTCGGACCCAGCTCTGGTAGGAAACCGAGTCCGGGCATCTAGATACTGAAGACTAGCGCGTCTGACGATTCTCTTCTGATTGCTGCGCTGAGCAGCTCTGTAGCTCATCTGAAGCTCAAGTTACATCGAGAAACTCATCATCATTACCCCAAAATGGCAGAGTATAGTTTTTCGGACCCAGCTCTGGTAGCACACCGAGTTCGGACATCTAGATACTTGAGACTAGCGCGCCTGATGATTCTAGATGAATTAGGTGTGCCTGCCAACTCTGTTTATCTACTACAGCTCGCGTTGAGTTCAGAAAACCGACAGCACATACCAGGAAACCGCATGCGACCTCTCCCACTGGGGCCATCGGCGGAGCTCCCTATGGGGCCACGAAGCGCTGCCCTGGGGGAGCCGCGATTCCCCCCACTGGAGCCATCGGCGGAGCTCCCTATGGGGCCTCGAAGCGCTGTTCTGGGTGGGGGAACCGCATGCGCCCCCCCCACTGGGGCCTTCGGTGGAGCTCCCTCTGGGGCCACGAAACGCTGTCCTCGGTGGGGGATCCGCATGCGACCCCCCGCTGGGACCGTCGGCGGAGCTTCCTAAGGGGCCACGAAACGCTGCTCTGGGTGGGGGAACCGCATGCGGCCCCCCCACTGGGGCCTGTGGAGATCTCGGGACCACGAAGCGCTGCTCTGGGGGGGGGAACTGCATGCGACTCCCCACTGGGGCTTCGGTAGAGCTCCCTATGGGTCTACAAAACGTGTGGGAGGTGTGCCGATGGCAGACGCAAGGAGGGGGAGGAGGGGGGGAGAAAACAGAAAAACTGAGACACCGTGTCTTCAAAACCGAAAACCACAGGATGGTAGTGTTCGTACTAGGCCAAAACTGGGAGCCGGCGGGAAACCGTCAACCAGGTTACCGCCAGGACCCTCGTAGAGCTCTTGACACGCGAAGTAGGCTGAGGATACGACGAGAAAACAGACTTGAATGTCAGGTGGAAACTCGAGACATGCATTTTCTCGATATTAGAAGAAACTTGCACGCCACGTACTTTCATAGGAATAGAACAGCTACAGGCGCAAGAATCCGACAGCCTGGCGCGCCATAAGCCAACACTCCAGATAAAGCTAGGGCCACGTAGCTTGCTGCTGCCTTGAGTTCAGTTTAGAAAACCAGTATCATTTAGAAAAATGCAATGCCACGGCCGAGGGTCCTCCCAATTCTCCAGAGCTGTGCTGCAGCCACAGCCCTGAGATTTTCACCACTGAGCGCGGCCTAATCCACTACGGGGAATAAAAAAAACGAAGTATCTAAAACGATGGTTGAATATCTCACAATGTTCGTCCAACCGACCCAAACTTCACACATTGTCCCCCCGGCCACTCAGCTCCACCCCGCGCCGGAATCTCTCAAGCTCATCGATGCCGAGGAACTCTACGAGGTACTCGAGCTGCAGACGAGAGAGCCGGCGGTAAACCGTCAACCAGGTTACTGCCGGGGTCATCGTAGGGCTCTTGACGCGCGGAGTAGTGCTCAGAATGCGCCGAGAAAGCTTGCTTGCAAATCAGCTTAAAAACTCGAAAATGTTTTTTTCGGTTTCTAAACGAAGTTGATTCCGCCAAGTGTTTCGATGGCAATGCTACGCCTACTGACCTGAGAATTCGATAGCCCGACGCGCCATCATCTACTGCTACAGGTGCAACAGATACTGGAGCTGTGTAGCTTGCTACCTGCTTGAGTAAAGTTCACGAAGCCCAAGATCATCTGGAAAAATGCATGCGAAGGGGGGCTCGGGCTCGGGCTCGGGCTCGGGCTCGGGCTCGGGCTCGGGCTCGAGCTCGGGCTCAGGCTCGGGCTCGGGCTCGGGGTCGCTTGGACTCGGGCCTGGGCTCGGGCCTCGGGCTCGGGCTCGGGCTCGGGCCCGACGGCCGACGGCCGACGGCTGCTCCAAAGTTTCGAGAGCTGTGCTGCAGCCACAGCCCTGGGAAATGCACCACGAAGCGCGTCATGACCGACTGCAGGGAACAAGGATCTGGACTCTTAAAACGAAATGTCAGATCTCTCAGAATCTTCACAAAAACCGACCCCAGGTTGTCACCTTGTCCGCCTTGGCCGGGTCGGCCAACTAGCTCCACCCCGCGCCGGAATTCCTCTGGCTCATCGATGCCGAAGAGCTCCACGAGGTAGAACCTACCGAGCAGTTCGGCAGATCGATCGGGAGGTAATCATCAAACACTTCAGTTGCAAGTTTCTGGATGCCCGAACTCGGTCTGCTACCCGAGCTGGAACCAAAAAACTATTCAGACGCTTCTAATTTTTCAAGAGATGATGGTGATGTTCTGAGCTTAAATCGATCTGCAGATGAGCTTCCTGTTGGGCTGTCGTGATCTTGGACGGTCGTGAGCCTCTCTTGGAGGCCTCTTGAGCCG